CCGAATGAACGCTTGACGTAGCTGTCTCTGCGGTGGGAAACAGTGTAAGGGATAGCAAGTGTTCCATTATTTGAAAACCAAAGAAGAAGAGTAGAAAATAGGAAAACTCACGAATTTGGAGACTACTGAAACCAGTCTGCCCACGCGGTTCGCGGCAGACATACTCGCCCTCATCGAGGGCGGTGACGTGGTACTTGGTGATGACACTGGTATACCTGGCGCGCGGGTCATCCGTTCGCACAAAGCCGCCAGGTCCGTAGTCGAGTGGCTGCAGGGTACTAGATCCAACCGGTCGGAAGAACCACTCCAAGTCAGTATTGGTAATCTCGTGGGCGCCCTGAGCGCTGCAGTGGATTTCCATTTTTTGCCCCTCATCCAACACGTACAGCGGTGGATTCACCTCCAGATCGTATTCGGCTATGTGGAACATATATTCATACAAATTATAATCAATCTGCTTACTCCCTTTATTCTGAAAGCTCAACCATTATTTCTCCAAAGCAATAGTTTCTTACAATGCCTAACTGAGATTGACCTAACATAATCAGACAACTTTGATGATTTACTTAACTGCTGTAATACGAATTTTCCACTTACAGACTACAATAACATCCACAATCTTCCTCTCGGTGTCGGTTCTGCACTCCCACTGACCCTCGTGATTCTCCTCAATACCGTCGATGGACATGATGCTGACGCGGCTGTAGTCGATGCGTTGGAGGTGCCCGGTTCGGTTGGCAGGGGAATTTGCATCGATGATGGTGCCATTGAGATACCACCTTATGGCGTTACGGTCGTTCATGGGAATCTCGCAGTGAAGCTCGCGCCTCTCACCAATGTTGGTGATTAATGTCGAACCCGGAGGTCTGCGAAGTTCTTCAAGCGAAAAAGTATTATTAGAAGTGTCGATGAAATGTGATATCTGCAGTGGAAAAATTTGTTCATTTTATTAGAATCTGCTGCTGCTTCACGGATCAAAAATATCCATTCGTTGTTAGATCAAGGCAAGAGAAAATTATTAGCCTGGATTTCTATTTTTCATTCAAGGTGGAATTTACAAATGAGCTTTAAAGAATTCATACCTCAGGTCTTTGCAAATTCACTGCCAAAGTGTACTGATTATTTTTTACTAGAGCTGAAGGGTAATTGGGACTCACCGGTGCGCGGTTCACTGGTGACCTTGAGTCGGACGTTGAGAGTGGCATTGGCGTAGCTGCGTCCACGTCCGTTGTAAGCAGGTCGCGCCGTGCAGATGTACTCACCCGCAGTGTTTCGGTTAAAGTCGGGCAGGTAGAGGCGATCGGACTCACTTACTGCACGGTTTCTGAAGTACCAGGTGTATGCAACCGGTTCTGGAGGGGACGGCTGAACTTTGCATCGCGCTTCATAGGGACGACCGAACTCCAGTGCTCGCGAAATCGGCTCGATTAGTGTGTTGTAGGTTATTGCGCCTGTTGGATACACATTTAATCCACATCAGATGGGGGCATTCCTATTCGACTGGTACTCCCTCTCCTGGGTGTAATAACACTGTTGACTACCTTTTTGGCGGTTCTATCTATTTGCAAGCATCTCCTTCAAGGTGAAACACGTGGTGGAGGCATCAAGTAACGCACTGGCAGATGATGTGAAGGAGAGGACACTTCCAAATCTAAAGATCCTCAAACCATCTGCGTAAAGTGCTTATATGAACACCTTTTAAGTAATGGGTTGAGGATTCCACTTACTCCAACACTGGAGGATTACTTCTCTCTTCGGACAAAAACATATTTGTGAATGGTAACAGCTAAGTGTAAATGAAGACACTCAACAACCAAAACCGAAAGTACTCCAAGGATATGTCAATTCGGAAGAAGGATTGCATTGGTGATTGACCCTTCTCATTCTTCGAAGTAGAAAAAGATAATTACCAAGACATATTGCCGTCAACGACTGGAAGGTAATCAAGTGTCACACCCAAATGACACACTTGGTCCCAGATGTCATAAAACACTAAGAAACTAGGCGAACCACCTTATAAGTTGGACCATAGTTTAGCAAGAAGATAGAATGGCAAAGTAACCTGGAACATTTCTGGCGTGGACGGTAAAGTAGCCGATCAAATAGTCGTTGGTGCGCAGATTTTTGGCCTTGCAGGTATACGTCACAGACGGCTGTTCTCCTGTGACCTACAAGAATTATGAAGGTAGGATTTGGTTTAAGTATACCCCATAAGGATTGGGAGTTATCAAGGGAAAAACTGTTAGTACTGCATAACACCCACTGATAATCATGGCAACATTCACACTACATTCGGTGGATTCAGGTGGGTCACGGATGGGAATTACTGCCCAACCCCAACTCCACAAATGGAGATGAGGCCCAACAATTCCCAGACTCCTTCCCCGTGATCAAATTCATGGAAGTCATTACTATTCCGCAATTGAGTGAAAAGGTATAGCAGTTTGGTAGAATGGTATGCGGATGGACAATCGCCCAAGTCACTGCGAAAGAAACAGTTGGCACTCTAAAAGTGGGCATTTGAAGTGTGAAAAAACACTTCAAGTAGATTGTTAGTTTACCTGAAGGAACTTGTTACTTAAAATCACTCTATGCCAGCAGATTTGATGCAGCCAAACAGGAGAAGCTGTCAATGAAAGTGGTTAAGGGGAGGTGACCTTTCGTCAGCAGTGCATGGGAGGCCACAAAAGGCTCAAATCACAGCAGGAAAGTGTGTTTTCACAGAAGGCATATCAAAAACCTTCTTCTGCTTAGCGTGAAAGAAGTGGAAATCCCCATGTTTGTATGACCTATTTGACATAACTCCCCAAAAAATTGTACATGGTCGAACATTTTTTAAATGTGTATAAAATTAGGGAAACCACCTTCCCCAGTGCGTAATGTCCATTTTCTGGTCAAAATACGCAAAAGAATTAGATGCCTAGGGTTATTAAAACCGGTATAGTTTAAAGCTTTAGCTATAGACGAGGTGCTATGAGGAGACCACTCACCGTGATGGAGAGGATGTCGCTGGAGGAGATAATGCGCCCACTGGGATCCGACCAGGTGTACTCCCAAATTTCACTGGGTGGTGGGGTTGGCACCACCTCGCATTTGCGCACCACTCGTCCGCTTAACATGTCCTCCGATGGCATGGGTCGAATCTCCAGGTCTCGTGGTTGTGTTGGACCATCTGCGGTGAGGAGAAATGCACCTCCGTCTTCATCATCGTTCCACAAGCACACACCTCTCATTATCTCCTGTCTTGCTGTCAGGCCTCACCTTTAACTGTGTGCCTTTCAGAAAACTTCCTACATCAATTTTGAGATGTCCTCTTAGTCAGTAAATCATCTGGCACATTAGCTACTCATTTAAATTGCATTTTCAAGTGCTGCCGGCAACTGGTCTCCTTACAAGTACTCCTGCAAGGTTTAAGCTATGTTCTGGTATTGTTCTTGATATTTCAAAGGTGAGTAGCTTAGTGGATCTGATAAAACTATTTCCAACAGTGTGAAGGTAGGCCGACAACGAAAACAGGGCGAGCATTCAAAGGATCATTAATGCAGCTATAGCAGTAGCAGCAACAGCAACTGCAGCAAGGATAACCCAAACTGACAGCTCAAGGCAAAGTGAGTAGAGAACCATGCAGGTGGGAGAGGTTGGTATGAGCACGGAAAACAAAAAGGGGTGTAAATGGAACAAGAAGGAACATGTAAAGCTTGTGGAAGCCCTAGTTCAGCCCACATCAAATTGGTGTAGCAGAGGGATTAGCGTGCACAGTCTTACAATATTCAACAGCGATCTGTTTCTCAAAGATCTCGCCGTCGTCCAAGCGTTCAACGACGCAGAAGATGGGATCTCTGAATGTGTCGGCGTTTACGTTGGTTAGATAGAGATTTTTGCCCTCGGAGATGACATTATCGGTGCCATCCTTGCGCGAAACCCAGGTGAATTGATAATTTTCCACTTCGCTTTCATCCTCCAGATAACATGTCGACTCAAGTGTTCCACCCTCGTTGATGCGCTCTGGGGAGGTTTCGCCTCTGGTAAGGCGAATTGTCGGCTCGTCTAGCCCACCGCCCAGCGAGATTACCTCATCTGGCACAAAAAGGCCCACCTTTTAATACACAACTCACTCTGCCTCTTCGCCATCACAACTGTGTGAGGCTCAGAAGCACGGACCGGTGTCGGCCACAAACACTCGCAGACTGTTTGGGCAGCTTCGGATTCATAGTTCACTGGAGCTTTACCGGAGCAAAGGTCAAATAGAAGTTCAACCAGTTCTACCGGTAAATTGCAGCGAAGGTGAGTTTTATCGCCTTCAGCACTTTCGATGGGAGCAAAATCGGTTTATTGTGATTATAAAAGTAGGGATGGCAAGTAAATTGATAAGTATTAGGAGGTGTGAACACTCGAACGATAAAAGTCGACACGAGCAATGAAGTAGGATAGTATTGTTATGTGTTGTGAGCCAATTTCATGCATTTAGTAGGACCGAGTGGTTTTTTTCCATGCAGAAATAACATGGTTATCACAATCAACTGCCGACGAGAACTTTACAGTAGTCATCGTAATCACGAGGGTCTCGTCGGTAGTACTCCATATGGTTTCGCCAGCTTTGGCCTAGTGCAAAAATTTCAAGAAAAATCCTTTCATTCACTAAATACCACCTCGAAGGCCTAAAGATGGGTGAAAGTGTGTGCATTCCAAGATTTGGTGCTTTAAATGGACTAGTTCTATAAAACAATTGAGCATAAGGTGTACGGCTCAACCGAAAACATTTGAAAATACTAATTTATTGAGAGGCCGAGGATTTCGTAGACTGAATATTTAAAGGTGGGTGAGGTCAACTTCACCTTTTACTACTACCTCTTACAAGCTTGCACGTAAGGAGAAACACAACCAACTCTTTAAACACACCGAAATTGAGAACCATGGTAACGAAGCCTGAATATTACACACCTACCGTGGCTCATCGTAAAGAAGGACTGAAATTTTAGTCTGAAACTTAAATTTGGCCGACGAGAACAACTTGGAACCATCACCTCAAGTAGTTGAAATTGATGACGTCGGTGCAAGTACTCATGGAAGTGGGCTATTGTCCATCTCAAAGGGAGGCTTATTTACTATGAAGTGTTCGAATATGGAGCTCCACAAAAGCACTTGAAATGCACCCTTCATGACATTTGAGTACAGTAAACAGGAGTACGCATTACATACCGGCGCTTATGTTTATGCAGATGAAAATGAGTGGGCATTCACCTCTGTTTATATAACGGTGCGCGTCTTATATGCTGTGGATGAAACCACAGGCCGTCAGGTTTCGGTACACCAGAAGGACATTTGGGCCGGTTAGCCCGAACACCACCCATCTTTGTGCATGAAAATGAACACATTGAGTGATAGACCAAACCGTAATAAGAACGGTAAAATTGACTTGCTTTAGCCCTGGTATCTAGCTCATACTTCGAACAAACGGTTGAGAAACGATGAATTGCCACTGCAGTCGGTGACCTCTAGACCTCTACCTTTTGCAAAGACCTGATTGTCCGAATCGTGGTTCAAGAAGGTAATTTTGATTACTACTTTGGTCAATTGCAATAGAATCAGTAATTAGGCCTACTGGAAAATGGTGCAAATCATACTCTCTTGTGTGATTACATGAGGCATTTTATGCTCTCCATGTATTATGAACGACTATAAAAGTGCCTCAGCGTCAATAATCTTCGAGATGCAAAGTGTTGGAGTCAAAAGTTGCCAGTCCTTAGGCACACCTAATGCTGAGCTAAAGAAACCAGGAATGCGGAATAAAGATGGACGTCAAGGTGAATTACTAGAAGCACTAGGGATGTGACTTACCTAAGACAGCATGACTTTGGAGGCTGAAAGCTAACACAAAGACGACAATCCAAATCCCCATGAAGGACCTCATTGTGATTTAGTGATGCGGAAGGGAGATGTGGTAGTCTCCGATGCTGTAACGCCTACTCTGAGGTACACGAACGGAATGGAGACCGGAAATTATGAAGACACCAATTTGCACAGGGTTCCGCTGTGCGCTTGCTAATCTCTGCACCCTGAATCTCATTGGCCGCAGATCTACTGCTTGCGAAGACGCCGATCCCATTGGCCAGGCGGTCTTGTGGTGTGGTTGTGCGCGAATCCGAAATATTCGATCCGATCGGTGGGTATTGTGTTCCGCCCAGATATCAAATACTTCCTTCTGCGGCGTGACTCATGGTGACGTCTTCTACTTCATCATCATTTGTGGCAATTGCAGCACCTATAAAATGCGCAAAACAACTCTTATGCAGTTGTTGGTGTGATTGCAATTATTTGCGAATCTTAAAATGACATTTGTGTCAAAAATAAATGTCATTAGCTATTTTATTTTAAGCAGCGAGGAATTTGAGCAAAATTTAGCTGCTCCATAACAAGGGATTGTTTCCTTGTTTCGCTTTTAACTTATCTCCGGAGCTGTAGGAAAGCTACACAAAGGTAAGTACTGATTCAAAATAAAGGCGAATTGGGTAAAATAAAAGTAGAAATTTATTTTAATCAACGAGAGTCATAGGTACTACAGAACCATCTCACGTGAATGAATCGATGTACGGGGCAAATTGAGGTTCTTGAAACAATGCTTGATTTTTTATTTTCTTTCAGTTTAATCAGCAGCCAACTGGAGATTGGATTAAAAAAATTAAAAAACATTCACCAGCAACATTACTTCCTGGGAACATCTCCGATCTTATCTTCGGCAATATTCGAACAGTACCGTTTTTATTATCCGAACATCATGTCAGTACTTAAACGTCCTTTTAATCATGCCCTGTTAATTCAACTACATATATTCCTGGCAACACCGAATGCCTTTATGACTGTCGGCCTAATTTAAGTATGAAAAGAAAATATTCTCTTTTTGAAACCAAAATTTTATTTATTTAAGTCCTTGATTTTCGGGTTTTAACAATCCTACCATTTCCATTATCTCGCACTGATGTGATTATGTTTGTTAATACATCGTTGGAATGTGAAACCAGTAAAACGACTTACTCCCGAAATTGGCGCAGAGCAGATGAAAATAAGCTTTGCCATAGTGACGAAGTTACTGTGCTATATACCTCTGGAGAGGATTTAGGCAAATCAAATGCATAACTTTCTTCGAATATGCTCGTCTACGGTAGGGTATGCATATCATGGCTTGTGTAAGTCCCTCAAATCTCTGTAATCTTAAGTCCTTGCAAAAGCAATGTGGAACTAATGCCAGGCCCTTCACGTGTCACACAGGAAACATGAGATGAAAAGTGGAAATACGACAAATCCTGTTTAATGAACTAAGTCGCTTTAGTACCTTGGATGGCCTAGTAGATAACGCTGGAAGTTCATGGGCACCTTAGAGCAAATAAATAAGCAAATAAGATTTTGTAAACGTTTTTAGAAACAAAATATTTTAGAATAAATTAGGAGATTATGGAAAATTTTAAAAACACAGACATACAAGAAACCCTTCCAAATATGGTATGCTGGAGGATAAGGTTATGGTACGCTCTAGAATACACCCTGAAATGTATCTTTCAATTTTAGACCTCTTTTTTTCAGCTTTTGTTTTAATATGTATTCAACTTAGGATGGGCCAAAACCAACGATGGCAAATTGTTATTTTTGACCATGTCTTGAACTCACTGAGGCATACTTTATATTTAAAAAGTCTTGTGTGTTCTGTAAAGATGAAGTAGCAGCCTGCATCGGAAACATAATGGGTCTTTTCATCTGCAACCGAATATCTTTAATAGTTGCTAGTGTGTGGACGCATTGAGGGTACGGCCTGAGGGAAGTCGGCAATCGCGTAAAACCTCAGGCGTGCGTGCGTGCGTGCGTGCTTGTGTGCGGGCATTCTGCGTGATCTCACCTGTGCCCAAGCGGAGGAAATGTAGTGTGGTAGGTAGTGATCTTTTCTCCTTTTTGCTGCTGTCCAATCTTTCACCGCAAGTAGTTACAAACCGTCAGCGTTGTAACCCCATGGAGTGCAATGGGCAGCAAAAACTGTGCAATAGAACAACAGCGAACTAAATTTACAGGTGGCTTTAAGTGACGCATTAGTTTCTTGTAACCATTGCAGTGGGTCTTGCCTCCACCATGTTTTACTCTAAACCATAATAAGTAGATAAGTAAAGTCTTTAAGCCTATTCATCGCGATGAATGAATGAATGCCAAAATCTCCTTAACTAGGAAAACTTTTACCAGTTTACTTCATTCAGCCCAATTTAACAAGGGATTGAAACTGCTTCAAAGTAAAGTTAACCAACATGTGCAACTGCATTACCCTTTAAGTGAGAGATGACGTAGCCGTGTTTGCCTGATGCAAAAATAGTCGTTGTATTTCTTACTCTCTTACAAAACAATACACAAAAAGCATGTTCGTATTTAAATTTATCTATTGGTTCTAAAAATACTGTCCAAATGCCAGTTAGCAGTGGGTCTGAAAATGGAGACCCTCTTCACCAACCTCTGCAAAGAGGGTTCAACAGTGCAAAGGTAGAGTGAAATGTTGATTCCAAATGACGCAAATTGGACCAAAACGGTGGCCATTTCGACTCTACGGTAGTGGTGGGAAGGCTGTAAATTACTTGCTTGTGTAATTTTTTGACCACCCTTTTGGAGAGAACTCATAATGCATAAGAAATAATATTTTTTAGCTGCTCAGCCACAGCTTCGGCCTAAAGGCACAGTAGATTGAAGTGAACACGAGGCGCAGTAGTGCAAATTCCTGGGCCTGGTTTAAGGTGCATATTTTAAGACCAAACTGCGTTGAAGATGAAATGCTAGAACGCCCTGACTAGCTTCCCTTCATTGCACATTTCCACTGCCATTTTGTGGCAATCCGGAAGTAGCATCCCTAAGTTCTTCCCTTTAAACTCCACAGAATATGTTAACTTACTGGTCAATTTAAACAGTCAAACGAATTGCCCCAAGGTCACAGAAACCTCGGAGTCAAGCATGGACTTCTAGACGGATGTTAAAATTCAGTCGGCGAGAGGACTTCTCCGGAAGGAACTTCCATCTGATGCCGACTCAAATACTACCAGTTGGAGTCGCCTCATCACTAAACTACTTCAAATTTAAGCTGTGATGGCGTGCACTGCAAACTTTGACCTGGAACAAGTGGTAACACTCAGTAAAGCTGGAGAAATTCTTCCTATAATGTGCTAGAATCCTCTGCATGTCTTAAAATTCACAATAAAATCTGGGAAAGGTGGTAATTTCAACCCCAGGAACAGTTTCAAAAGCAACTCCGATTAATAAGTAGTATTTCCACTGGGGTGGCTGTAGCACGGGGTCTTTTAAAATTTGAATTCTGCAGTTAAAACTGCAAGAGATAGCCAACAGAAGCGCCCTCGAGATTTCGGAGATGCCTCCTAGGACTGAAGAAATGGAAAAAGTGCTTTTGAGGTCACCGATCTGCGCACACTGGTCATGCCTTTTCACTTTCTCGGTAACGGCGCCACTGCATTATGGACAATGTTTGGAGAAGCTTGCGTGATGGTTATTTTTACCCACTTTATCACTCTCATTGTCGCTTTGTTTTTCGTGAGGGCTTTAATATGGCCAAGAGAAATTAGTTTATATACTGAGCACATTATCATCTTGACTTTGTGGTTGTTTTATCTACCACTTAAGCCAAGATTGGCAACAAGAAACTGACTCTTCAAGGAGGATATTCCAAAATACGTATTTTGATTCGAAAGCATACTGCATTTCTGGTACAAATGGTTTAGAGAGGTTGCTCACAAATTGAGGAAAGTCTTCTCCTACTTTCTGTGACCACCATGGCGCCCCTTCCCCGATCTTACCAATCCCTACGAAGGTGACGAAAATCATAGACCCTCTACTATGAATAAGAGTAGCTAAATTGGGAAAATTAGCGTTTCTTGTCGAGCTATTGTAAAAAATTGTACTTAATGACTACTTAATTGTGAGGTAATATACTTCCAGCCGACATTATAGTCAAATTTGAGGTTTTGGCCAAGTCATTTCCATTAACTGTCGAACTAACTGATGCACAAGGCAGTGCATTCAGTGGTCATCAATTTGACATGCAAGAATTGTCACCTATATCCAAGGCGCACTTGAATTTTCGAATACCTTTTTGTCATCTTTGAAACCATTTACTGTTACGGATCTGCACGTGACTTCTTTACTATTGTAGAGAATTTTGGCAGAACCCAAAGGAAAAGATTTCTTATGCCATTTCTGAGTCATCATCACCCCATCAGCCAAGCGCTTGCCCATCTCGGGAAGAAGGCATGTGCATTAGCCTTCAATCAACCCACTTGCAAGGGCTGATAAACAGGCAGCTTCCGACCATATCACGATGTTTTTCAGCCTGACTTGCGGCTACTATTCTGGAATCGCACTTAAACACACACCTGCACAATTTAGGTGAGGTGGGTGCTACAGGTCGGACGATTCTCCTCAAAAGGGGCTTCCAAGCGCTCCTGAATTCCTAAACTTGGCGAAAACACTAAATTGGCGTCCAGATGGTGCCTAATCTTACGTTCGGGGTGGAAGTGCCCACTTTACTTACAGCGATTAGATGTGCAGATAAAAACAGGCCACCCAAAGACCACTTCATTCTGGCCATGGGAGACGCATTTGTCCGCAATTAAAGATGTATGGGGAAACGGTGAATTTCAAGTGCCTGAAAATTTAGAGGTGATCTCCAGGACGCATTAATCTACAAAATGCACAATTCCGTTTTTGTCTTGAGGTACTTAGGACAGGAACACTTAACTGAAAGTTCATGGACTTTTGAACTAATTTTGGTTGACAACGCTTGTCCCAAGAAGGAGAAGGGACAAGGAAAATTAATTAATCTGCATAGTCAACTTAAAAAAATTCCAAAAACGAATTTTTTATTGATAAAGGTATGAT